TAGTGAGTACTATGTACAGTCATTACTATAGACCAACCCTATAGTTTGATTTTGTGTACATTAAGTTGCATTTGTATTTTGTAAATAACTTTAGCCTGGCCATTAGCAGAGTTATGTACCTAGCAAGAAATTTTGAAGGGTAATTTTTTGACAAATTGATAGTTTGGTAATTGGATGGTTTTAATTTGGTGGAATAGTTTGTGCCCATGCATGTGCTATTGGACATGGCCAAATTTGCCAAAATGCCCCTTCCAAAATTACTAGCTATAGCTTTAATTTTTATGAATAACTGATGTATATAATAATGTGTAGGTAATAGAATTATAAATTGCTGAGTGTAGAAAAGTGAACTTATTAAAATACATGGCTGTTTTGAATGTTTTAAAATTTATTTAACATCAAACATTGGTTTATTAAAATTCTATAAGCCAGAACTCTTCTAAATATTAATTTAAGCCTAGTAGCCTATGTGGTTTTAATTTTGTGAACTTAATTTGTAGCAGGTCTGCTAATTTTGCTTAATTAAATTTATTGATTAATTTTTTCCAGCCTGTACATCCCTGATGCACATTGGCAGTTGATTATTTCATTAATTGCACATTAATATAATGCAATGTATTGCCAATATCAGCCTTAATTGTCTGTAATGGCCTTTAAAAAGTTTGGTTTTATCATGATTACTTTCCTTGCTTTTATAGATGCTGTAGCTAAATGGTTACAAGAAGGGACAGTTGATTTAACTGTCAAACGTGTTCAAATTCTTGGTCCTCCTGGCTCTGGTAAAACATGTTCTCGACGTCTCTTACTCAATGAAGACCCACCCAAAAATGCTGTCACTGACAGCACACCAATAGCTTGCCGTGCTGTCAAAGCTACAAGAATATCGATTGCAGATGGTTGTATGAAAGAAGTTGATGCTAAATCTCTTCTTTCAAGGTTGGCATCCGATTTAAAGGAAGAAGTATCAAAACAAAAGGAAGCTTTGGCTGCATCTGCAGAACCAAAAGAAGCACCAACAGAAGACCAGCATGATTCAAAGAAGAAATTTTCAGAATCAATTCCTAGCCCTATTGATATTCCTAATGAGACTGAAACAATACCAGAACCAGAATTAGCAGATACAATAGAATCAGGAGATACCAGAGCAGATAATCCTTATTTAAGTAAAATACGCAAAGATATTCTTGAGGCCATTCCAACTGCAAAAGGCAATTTAAAATGTCGTTGGGTATACATTATCGATTCTGGTGGTCAGACAGCTTTTCAAGAGTTATTGCCTTTGTTTACTAGAGCAGCTTCTCTGAATATCATCACACTAGACCTTTCTAAAAGTAAGGATGAGAAGCTTGATCTAAAGTATCGAATTAAAGAAAGGCAATTTACTTGTGACCAAGATTTTTCATATACAAATATTGAATTTGTACAGGATGTGCTGTCCTCTGGAGCTATTTTACAGCCTTACCACTCACCATGCTCAGATGACAATACTACGGCTCTTCAGTACCCAGAATATTTTGTTCTGGGTACACATGAAGATATAGCAACACAAGAACAGATTGATAAATATAACGAAGAGCTATCGCTATTAACACATGACTGTGGAGCCGAAAATGGATATCGCATCATTCCTGCTAAACTTGGTAAAATTATATTCCCAGTCAATACAATGCTTGACTCTCGCTATGAAAGACAAAAACTATCCAAAAAGCTTTGTAATGCAATATTTCACGATGATACTTCTGATGATACCTCTGACGATACTTCTGACGATACTTCTGATGATACTTCTGATGATACCTCTCATGATACATTCAAAATGCCAGTTCGATGGTTTGCTTTTGAGTTAGAGTTGCTTGAGAAAGCAGGAAATGACAGCTGCCTCAAGATGGATGATGTCTTGTCTATTGGAAGGAGCCTTGAAATGAATGAAGATGATACCAAGCTAGCTCTACAGCACCTTCACAAATACACAATTATTCTTTATTATCCTCAAGTTTTACCAGAGATAGTGTTTGTTGATCCTCATCCTATTCTTGATATTCTCTCGCGTTTATTAGCTCTTACTTATAAAATTGATACAGATTATTTGTCTCTCTTTACAAAGAAGGGAGCAAAAATATTATTCTCTGATGGTTTACATAACCTAAGGAAGAGAGGAATATTTACTGAATCACTGCTGGACAAGTTAAAAGATGATCGGGCATTTTCTAAATCTGATTTCATCAAGCTTTTGCTTCACTTACACATCATCATTGAGATAGATGATGGTTATTTCAGCCCATTCGCATTGCCTCCTTTTGGATCTTCAGGTCCTCCTCCAAAGTCAGATATTAACCCACTACTAATAGTCTGGCGCAATCCCATTACTACACAAATTTTGCCTGTTCCCCGTGGAATTTTCCCTTTAGCAGTTGTCAATTTAATGACATTCAAGCAACCACAATTTTGTTTGCCTCCAGCAGCTCCCCGAATGCATCAAAAATATTTCAGGCATCGAGATGCCATGTCTTTTCGTGTTCGTGTTCATGATGAACTCATTGGCACCATTCATTTCATTAAGAAACACCGACATATTGAAATTTACTTTGAAACCAATGAACTGAAATATTGTCCACTTATCTGCAAAGCAGTAACAGAAGCTATTAATAGAAGTAGTGTCGCCATTAACTTGAAACCTGATAGTCATGAGTTCGCCTTTGGTTGCTCTACTGAGGACTGCTACTGTATTGTGAAAAAAGAAGATGAAAAGAAAGCTGAATGCACTTTATGCACAAAACCACCTCTTATCAGTGGGCTAGAGACACACTGGAGCTGGTTTCATCTCACTTATCAAAACTCAACTGAAGGTAATTATATTCCTTACTCATGAGAGTAAGTAATTGTTATGTTGCTGTTTTTGTCGTTAGTTTTATAATAGCTTGTGTAACTTTTGTCCATCTTTTTTTATTACGTAGCTTCAAAGACACTTGACATCACTTACCTTCAAAAAGTATTGAATTTACTCAGAGAAGGTTATTTTAATGGTGACTGGGAGGGACTTGGTCTAGAATTAGGCCTCTATCAACATCCAACACTCTCAAACATACAGTACAACTACACCAGAGGTGCTGCTCTTAGAGAATGCCTTGCTACTTGGTTGCTAAAAGCTGATGCTGTGGATGATAATGGCGGAGTGACCTATGTCTCGCTTGCTAATGCTGTTGAAAGATTAAGTCAAAAATCTGTAGCTGATTATATACGCAGTGAGTTGTGTGTAATTGTTTTTATAATTATTGTTATTTTTATTGTAGGAAAATGCCAAATTGATTGTTCACAGGAAGAAATCATTAGTATTGGTATGATATTAATATTATGCTAATAAATTGATAATTATTGTTACTTTTTTATTGTAGGAAAATGCGGAATTGATTGTTCACAGGAAGAATTAATTACATGTAGTATTGGTATGTGTTATCAATATTATACTAATAAATTGATGTTTATTTTTATTTTTTTATTGTAGGAAAATGCGGAATTGATTGTTTACAGAAAGAAATCAGTAGTATTGGTATGTGTTTGTTATTATTCTAATAAGTTGATGCTTAATTATAGAGTTCAGTGAAAGCCCACAAAGCAAGCCAATGCCAGCACAAGACAACAGTCATATTGCAGAGGAAGAAGAAAAACAGAAACAAGTAGCAGAAGAAAGCACAGGTAATAAATTTAATATTATTAATAAGTATTATTTTCCGTTTTAAGTAGTTCGCCAAAGAATTCTAAATGTTGAGGAACCTCAAGTGCTTTCTCCATCTCCACAAGAGCTCAAAAAAAGTTAGCAAAAACAAAAATTCTTAAAATAATAATTATTATAGCAGGTAGTTCGTGTAGTTATTTGCAAGTCATGATTGCATTTATATGCATTGCACTTTTTGCTATTGTGGGCATAATGAGCTACCTGGTCTTTGTCATTCAAGGTGGAAGAAATTTTTAATAGTGAGCTCGTCCACTATTATAACAATGTAATGCAATTTTGTAACAGGATACAAGTTGCAAAAATTACCCTTTTTCAAGTTGAATGATTATTAATTTGATATTTTAATTTTTAAAATGTAAAACTACAACTGCCACTTTTGTTTGATATCCAAATAATATTATTTGGATCACTTTTTGCTGTTTGACGATTAATTTTGCTGATATTAAATAAATAAAATTAGTTGACACACAAAAATAAATTAGAAAATGTTCCTGCAGAGAGGACAACTGCTCTTGTTACTAGTACTGAACCATTTATACTGAAAGGAAAATAATAAAATAAATAATAACTGAACAAAATGAGTGTAATATCTATTCACTGTATCAACACTCAATAAAATACATGTACATGCACTACCTTACCAGACATGATGAATGGAATCTCTTCTTGCAAGTTCTACATATCATTTTAGGTAGTGAATAATTAGATCCATGAATGATACTGAAGCATATCATGCAGTCATCCAAACCAGCAAAATGTTTATCAAGATTACTCTTCCATAATAATAATCCTTCCAATATAGAACCA